ATCTATCCCGACATGGGAGAAATGGTGGCTCACCTGGTGTCACTCTAGCTGCAGGAAGTGGAGCCATTTTTTGATTCCCGGGTTGTGCATTCCATCGACGACACTTAATACACCTACCAATCACACGCTTTACAGTAGCTAGTCCATGAACAATCCAGAACTTCTGTCGTATCTCTGACAACACTTGGTTTGGGCCAATATGTCCTTGTTGTTCATGGTAATGTTGAACGATCAACTCAGTTACATGATGATTGCGAGGTAATATAATTGGATGTCTAGCTTGCTGACTAATGGGTGCGTTCACTAGTCGTCCTCCGACGTGTAGGACTCCATTTTCTAATTTAGGGTTTAACTTTCGCAGTGGACTGACATAACCTTCAGCATCAGGTTTCTCACTCAGAATCTTTTGCGGTGAAGCAAACTCTCTTGGAAATGAACTTCGTTGGACAATTCTGCAAATGTCAGTGGTAGCAATGGAAAGTTCATGAACTGTTAACGGGCCTATTTTCAATAAGGCAGATCTTCTCAAGTACATCTTAAACCGGATGAGCCATGCAACACTCACTTGTAATTTATACCAAGAGGAGTATTGATGGAGCAAACGACTCCAAACATCTGTACCCATTGTATTGCACTGGGTAATGGTTGTTGCTTGGACCTTCCTTCTCAGCTCTTTGTCGTCACGATCAATTTCTGGTAGGTCAGTAGGTTGGCCTGGCCATTCTGATTCAGGTTGCCATAGAAATGCTGCACCATGGAACCATGTGGTTATTGCTGCCTCATTAGAACCATTCAATTTTATTCCTCGTGATGCATGGTCTGCTGGATTGAACTCTGAACTGACATGGTACCATTGTGATGGAGATGAAGCATCATGAATAATCTGGAGGCGGTTAGAGACAAAGGTTTAGAATCGTGTTGCCATGTTATATTGGATGTAAATGCGAATATATTGGATGACTATTGTTGAATCTGTCCAAAATAGGGTTCTCTGGATTGGGAGTTGAATTTCATCTTGAATTTGTCTGCTGACCTTAACTGCAACTGTAGCTGCTGTTAGTTCAAGCCTTGGTACTGTCATGGCTTTGAGCGGAGCGACCCTGGACTTTCCCATCAGCAAACTGCAATGAATTGTACCATTTGTATCTATCAGCCGCAGGTAAGATGCAACCCCATAACCTCCTAAGGAGGCATCAGAGAAATTATGGAGTTCCACTGTTTGTATTTGACTGAAACCAGTTGGTTTGTAGCATCTAGGTATAGCTAGTGTCATCAAAGTAGGTAGTTTTTTCCTCCATTCTCTCCAATTCGACAGTTGATCTTCTGGTACCTTTTCATCCCATCCATATCCAACACGACATAATTCTTGTAAGATTCGTTTTGCCGGTAAAACAAAGGGGGCAGCGAATCCAAGTGGGTCGTAGACTGAAGCTACGAATGATAACATCTCCCTGCGTGTCTCTTCTTTCAGTCTGTCGCCAATTCTGAAGTTAAAGGCATCCTTTTCAACATCCCATTGGATGCCAAGAGCTCTGTCAATCGGCAAGTTCTCCATATCTAGATTCATCACTGAAGAAGCACGCTCAGCTTCTGGGATCAGTGCTAAGATTCCCGACAGTTGGATATCCATTTTGTTAGATGAAAACCTCCTTTAGCTAACATTTCAGGCAACAGTTTCACCAGTTCCTTGGCTTCTTCAACACTAGCAACAGACTTCAGACAATCATCGACGTAGAAGTTTCTATAAACAGTATCCACAATATGAGTGTCATAATTACTTCTGTTGTCATCTGCAGTTCTCTTCAGAGCATATGCTGCACAGCTTGGTGAAGATGTGGCACCAAATGGATGCACCAACATTTGATGATCGGCTGGATCTTTAGATAAATCTCCTTCCGGCCACCATAAGAATCTTAGTGCATCGCAGTCTGCCTTCTTCACCTTAACTTGATGGAACATTTGCTTGATGTCAGCGACAATGGCAACTGGCTCTTTTCGAAATTGAAGAAGTACTCCCACAAGGGTATTATTTAGATCAGGACCTTGCAGAAGCTGATCATTAAGAGATGTGCTTTGGTATTTGGCAGCGCAGTCAAAAACAACTCTCACCTTCTCTGGTTTATTCGAGTGGATTACTGGATGATGAGGTAAATACCAAGTAGAGCCAGACTTCGTTGCTGATGAATCCACATTGGGCATTCTTCTTGCATGACCCTGGGAGATGTAACCATCCAATGTGTCTTTATATTTCTTCATAAGTGCAGGATCTTTCAATAGACGCCTCTTCAGTAGCTTCAACCTCTTTAGAGCAGACCATTTGTTGTTGGGTAAGCAGGGATCATCATATCGCCAAGGAAGAGCCAGCTGGTAGTGACCCTCAATCAGACAAACTGAACTGTCCATGATCGCCTTTGCTCTTCTATCTTCCAGCGACATACATGCCTTGGTATCAAACAAGGACTCTGTGAAATCTGCATTGTACATGCGATGAAGCTGAGAAGTTATAGGTTCGAGACACTGAATTGGGGAATCAGAGTCCAAGACTTGGTCAACATTAATAAAATTGATGCTGTTACCTCCACGCTTCTTTCTGCCCATTGGTCCAATGAATGTCCAACCAAGTAGTGTTCGAATACCATATGGTTGCTTCCTTTCACCACGACGCTCCTCAAGAACCCAATGTGCCTCGGGGACATCATTCCCAATGAGGAGAGTAACGTCTTTAACTTCTATCTCTGGCAATTCTATATCATTCAGGTGAGACCATCCTTTTATATCCAACTTGGTCGGAATACTGTCAGCTGCTATCGGTAATCTATCCGTTGTCCAAACTTTATCCAGTCGCACACCATTGACCAAATTTAGACCTCTTACATCCATCTGTAATTCATGACCATTAATCTGCCTCTCTGCATTCAGTGTGGACAATGTGTAATTGACAGGTTTACCTGTAATGCCTAATTTATCAGCAAGGCTGTAAAGACAGATAGACGAATCAGAACCACTGTCAAGAAATGCATAGGTTTCAATCTCTTGGCCTCCATCTACCCCACTAACACGAACAGGAATCACCTGCAAACTTATGCGTGGTCGATTGGTTTGTGTAGCACTACATTGCGCTATGCTTCCAATGACATTACTATGTCTCTCATTTTGAGCTGTGGCGGGAGCTTTCAGATTACTATTGCTGAAAGTCTTGGGAGTTGCAGATGTTTGATATGCTGAGTTCGATGTTGCAGGATGAAGCAAAGGATGATGTCTTTTACCACAGCCTACGATAGGGCAAATACGGCCACTTCTACAATTCCTAGCCAAGTGAGGAGGTCTTGCTTCTAGGCAACAGTCACAGAGCCTGTGTTCCCTGATGAAGTCTTTTCTCTCTTGGAACGGTTTGAACGTAAATTTACGACAATGTTCAAAAGCATGGCTACCACTGCAAAACAGACAACCTCTCCTGCCATTAACTTCGATTTATTGGTTGTATCGCTCGACTTTCTGCACATTTTAAGAGAAATGTATATTTAATTTACTGTACATTTTATGATAAGAATTGTTTGATTTACTTCGAATATTATAGTTTCCCTATTTTGTTTTGTATATTTTAGAACCATATTCTGGAGATGTACTAACTTGTTTTGATTCCGTAACGATTGACCATATGGAATAAATATACGATATAACCAGAGTACGCGTTTCTAGTTGGTGGCGTAAGAGACTGTAATACCTGTGGGAGCTTGTGATGCCTTTTCGTTCAAGAATTATTTCGTTATTGACAAATTTAGATGTTTGAGCAGATCGAACAAACGGTCATTTGCATATTGCATTATTGTTCGACATTTTAAGAATATCTTTATTATAAAATAATTTTGTTGTTGCTG